TAATTTCGTACCATTTGGCTTTTCCCTCCCATATGATTTGCAAATATTGGCGATCTTTTATTTCTGGAACACTATACCTTTTGGATCCTTTTGGTGCTTTTTGGGGGTTCTGACGTTCTAAGTGTTGGATTCAGCAGCTAATTCCGAGGAAACATAGACATAATTTCGTACCATTTGGCTTTTCCCTCCCATATGTTTTGCAAATATTGGCGTTCTTTATCTCTTGAACACTATGCATTTTGGTGCTTTTTGGGGGTTCTGACGTTCTAAGTGTTGGATTCAGCAGCTAATTCCGTAGGAAACATAGACATAATTTCCTACCATTTGGCTTTTCCCTCCCATATGATTTGCAAATATTGGCGATCTTTTATCTCTGGAACACTCTACCTTTTGGATCCTTTTGGTGCTTTTTGGGGGTTCTGACGTTCTAAGGGTTGGATTCAGCAGCTAATTCCGTAGGTGCTTTTTGGGGGTTCTGACGTTCTAAATGTTGGATTCAGCAGCTAATTCCGTAGGCAACAAAGACATAATTTCGTACCATTTGGCTTTTCCCTCCCATATGATTTGCAAATATTGGCGATCTTTTATCTCTGGAAACACTACCTTTTGGATCCTTTTGGTGCTTTTTGGGGGTTCTGACGTTCTAAGTGTTGGATTCAGCAGCTAATTCCGTAGGAAACATAGACATAATTTCGTACCATTTGGCTTTTTCCTCCCATATGATTTGCAAATATTGGCAATCTTTTATCTCTGGAACACTATACCTTTTGGTGCTTTTTGGGGGTTCTGACGTTCTAAGTGTTGGATTCAGCAGCTAATTCCGTAGGAACATAGACATAATTTCGTACCATTTGGCTTTTCCCTCCCATATGATTTGCAAATATTGGCGATCTTTTATCTCTGGAACACTATACCTTTTGGTGCTTTTTGGGGGTTCTGACATTCTAATGCCGAAGAAACATAGACATAATTTCGTACCATTTGGCTTTTCCCTCCCATATGATTTGCAAATATTGGCGATCTTTTATCTCTGGAACACTATACCTTTTGGTGCTTTTTGGGGGTTCTGACGTTCTAAGTGTTGGATTCAGCAGCTAATTCCGTAGGAAACATAGACATAATTTCGTACCATTTGGCTTTTCCCTCCCATATGATTTGCAAATATTGGCGATCTTTTATCTCTGGAACACTATACCTTTTGGTGCTTTTTGGGGGTTCTGTCGTTCTAAGTGTTGGATTCAGCAGCTAATTCCGTAGGAAACATAGACATATTTCGTACCATTTGGCTTTTCCCTCCCATATGATTTGCAAACATTGGCGATCTTTTATCTCTGAAACATATACCTTTTGGTGCTTTTGGGGGTTCTGACGTTCTAAGTGTTGGATTCAGCAGCTAATTCCGTAGGAAACATAGACATAATTTCGTACCATTTGGCTTTTCCCTCCCATATGATTTGCAAATCTTGGCGGTCTTTACCTCTGGAACACTATACCTTTTGGTGCTTTTTGGTGGTTCTGACGTTCTAAGTGTTGGATTCAGCAGCTAATTCCGTAGGAAACACAGACATAATTTCGTACCATTTGGCTTTTCCCTCCTATATGATTTGCAAACATTGGCGATCTTTTATCTCTGGAACACTCTACCTTTTGGATCCTTTTGGTGCTTTTTGGGGGTTCTGTCGTTCTAAGTGTTGGATTCAGCAGCTAATTCCGTAGGAAACATAGACATAATTTCGTACCATTTGGCTTTTCCCTCCCATATGATTTGACATTGGCGATCTTTTATCTCTGGAACACTCTACCTTTTGGATCCTTTTGGTGCTTTTTGGGGGTTCTGACGTTCTAAGTGTTGGATTCAGCAGCTAATTCCGAGGAAACATAGACATAATTTCGTACCATTTGGCTTTTCCCTCCCATATGATTTGCAAATATTGGTGATCTTTTATCTCTGGAACACTATACCTTTTGGTGCTTTTTAGGGGTTCTGACGTTCTAAGTGTCGGATTCAGCAGCTAATTCCGTATAGGAAACCTAGACATAATTTCGATTCCACTTCGAATTCCAATTTTCTGCAATATTTTAATTGCGTTATAAAAGGAAATTCAATTGATTTCGAAAGCGAAAAAACTAGTCTTTTTATTAAGGGTTTAAATTTATTATTAGGATCCGCTTCGAAATCCAATTTTTGGCAATATTTTAATTGTGTTATAAGGAAATTTACCTGATTTTGAAATCGAAAAAAACGGTTTTTCTTATTAAGGGTTTAAATTTATTATTTAGGTCCGCATCGAAATCCAATTTGTGGCAATATTTCAATTGCGCTATATAAGGAAATTTAATTGGTTTTGAATCGAAAAAAATAGTTTTGTTTTATTAAGGGTTTAAATTTATTAGGGTCCGCTTCGAACTCTAGTGTTTGGCAATAGTCTTATGGCGTTATAAAAGGAAATTTAATTGATTTTGAATCGAAAAAACTAGTCTTTTTATTAAGGGTTTTAATTTATTATTAGGATTCGCTTCGAAATCCAATTTTTGGCAATATTTTAATTGCGTTATATAAGGAAATTTAATTGATTTTGAAGTCGAAAAAAATAGCCGCTTTATTAAGGGTCTAAATTTATTATTAGGGTCCGCTTCGAAATCCAATTTTTGGCAATATGTTTAATTGCGCTATATAAGGAAATTTAATTGATTTTGAAATCGAAAAAATAGTTTATATAGCGACGGACAATCACTTAGCACGTTCTAAGTGTTGGTTTACGTTCTAAGTGATAAATGGGCCTAAGTGATATTTTGACGTTCTAAGTGATGAATTTTCCCTACGTTCTAAGTGATGAAATTTTGCTACGTTCTAAGTACGAAAAAAAAATGGAAAAAAATTTACGTTCTAAGTGATTGTCCGTCACTATATATATAACCGTGTAAAACCAAGAACATGACATTTGGGTGTGTCTGAAAATGGTGTGTGTGTATATATATATATATATTATTTATATATAAATATGATATATACTTGTATGTATGATGTTGGAGATCGATGTAGATGCATGCAGCTGGAACTAAATCTGGAAGAATGGAATAATCCTTGAAAACTATGTAAAACAAAGGGCACCTGATTCAAGTCGAAGTTTAAAGACCAAGTGATTGGAACAGTGCTAAATCAGAGCTACCTCTCCATCACTTGTGATTATTGATCAGAATTGGCTTCAAAGAACTTAAATGGCTAAATCCTTCACCAACATGTAACCAACATAAACCAACATCTGTGGGTGCTGATACCACACATCAAGCAAACATCGGTGTTTTGTCTGATGTAATATTTGACCCCAAACACTGCATGACACCAAAAAATCACCAACCTTTGCGAGATCCCAAAAGGGTCTCCTATGATTTACCCTCTGGTAAACTAACATAACTATGGAAAATCACCATTTTTCATGGGAAAACTCACTATTTCAATGGCCATTTTCAATAGCTATGTTAGTCATAACCAGGAGGGTAGCCTTCCCGCGTTCTTCCCACAACGGTCCCGTCCCCGCCATGAACTCCGTGAGCAGTTCGTCCAGCTGACAACAGCAGCAGCATTCGCAAGCGATGGTGAAGCCCTTGCCGCAGAAGAGATCTTTGCAGCGCGATGGCCTGCCGAGGTCGCCGATGGCCGGAGGCCGGCCACACCCCCCAAAGGTTACCCTCTGGTTATGACTAACAGTGAGCTATTGAAAATGGTGATTTATAGTGGATTTTCCCATTAAACCCAATCATTGGATGGTTTTTTTTGGGAAAATCTTCACCGGAAAGACCCAAAGATTTAAAACGGAAAATCTCTATGGTTTCCGGTTCCAATTTCCCCTTAAACCAATCCAATCACCCAAAGGTTACCAGACCCCGCCTGGTGACCAACTTTCGGCCGTAGATGTTCACCTCCCCTGCCAGGCGCTGACTGAAAAATCACCAAATGCTAATGCCATTAGGGCAATAAAATCCCAATCACATGGGGAAAAATCGTGACAAAACTGTTATTGCGGGATTTTTCAGATGGTCTGAGTCTGTCTCAATCCTCATTTATATATCTATATATGTTTTATCACTTGTCACACCTTTTCACTGACCCTTTGGAATCACCCCTACCTCCAGGACATCCCATGACCAGCGACCCTATGGCGCCTTTGATGCGCTTGACATATCGGTCTAAGATACCTTGCACCGAGGGGTTGCAACACTAGGGTCAAGACATGTCAAGACACAAGGGCAGCTGCTAAATCATGTGGTGCATTTTCTCCCTTCAAATGACTCGAATAAATGGATAGGATTGCCTGATCCGCGAGTGACTGGGTTGCTATCTGGATTTCAACAGGGATCCCTTGCCTCAAGGCAGGAACACACTGGTACTGGTAACCATTGACCATGTCACTGTCACCTATCATGTGGCCATTTGCAACGCCACCTCCGGACGAACAGCTGTCCCAGAATTAGTTGGAAGGGAAACGGAACAGGAAACCTTATGAAACCTTTATGTTTGGAGTGAAGAAAATGTTTCTAGACAGATTTTCCATGATTTTCCTACAACGTGTCCATTGAAACTGAGGCCGAAGCTTGCTTTGGGATTGCCCATCATCGACGGTGGTGGCGTATTTGGACAACAAATCTTCGACCCCCCCGGGTCCGGTGGGTCCTACGTGCCCAGGTTGTGCTCAGGTGCGGAGTTTCCAATGATTTGAATGGGAAACTCATCTATAAATGAGGGAATGTCTATTGCCATCTTTGATTACCTGAGGGCACGACTGTCTATTGCACGTGTGTTTATTCTTGTTCCTGAAACATGCTGAAAGAGAAGTCAAAGTCACAGCCAAAATCTATGTACAATATACCCTCTGGTTATTGAACATAGACATGGGAAATGGCCCATTTATAGACGGTTTACCTATTAACAATGGTGATTTTCCATGGCTATGTTAAATTACCAGAGGGTATATATATATATATACGTATATTTCCATAGTTCATTGCTCTGACATGCCCCGGCCCCAGCGTGGTATGTCCTGCTCGCCCGCCACCTTTTCGTTGTACATGAGCACTTTGCCCATCCTAAACAGCAACTGACAGGGGCTGTAGGTCCTATAGGTATTGCTCAAAAAGAGGGGGCTTAATGAGTCAAATAAACCTATCCAAATGATTTGTTCAATCATGGCTCGATTGCGGTCCTCTATGGTTTCAACATCAGTATCCGCTACGAAAATTGCAATGATCCCAGCGATAGGTGATGTATTTAACCATCAAAATTTACCAACATAGCGTAACATAGCACTTTTCTGTGGATCTTGTTGAGGAAACCAAGAATGTGATCATCAAAGTCTTGGAAATTGGCAGAGGGCGTGGCAGACCAAACCAGGATAAACCAGGCTTCTTCGGATTCAACGATGCCAACGGGGTCAGGTAGCAGGCCTCGCGAGCACTAGCGTCTCTGGTACCACAAAGACAGTGATGGCGAAAAGTTATGGAGATGCCACCCTCTGAATCTATCTGAATCTATTAGTCAATCAACCAGTGTGGAACAGGACGTCTATGACCATGACCTTCAAAGCAGTGTCCTTTTTCTACTCGTCAATAGTAACTTCGCTAAATAGAATGAATGTTGAATCAATTCAATCGCGCATGGGCATCAATTCAATGACAGTGACTAGTAATTAGTTGAGTTACCCTCTGGTAATTTAACATAGCTATTGAAAATGGCCATTTATAGTGGATTTTCCCATTGAAAATGGTGATTTTCCATAGCTACGTTAAATTACCAGAGGGTAGTTGCTGCACACCCAATGGCTGGATGGATCTCGATGGACTGTGGATGGATCTGCCACACCCAATTCCCCAGTAAGTGGCATGTTCTTCGGCTGGGTGTCAAATGTTCCGCCAGCCATTCACAGTCCAACCGACCCTTCTCTGATTCACCAGTCAGTTTACCCTGCATATGCTATGGGTATGTATGGGTCATTAGCTTTCCATGAGAATCAAATTTCCTTCCCCCCAATATCAAAGAACGCCCTGGCTTAGTGGATGATCTCCATGCCCCTGTCACGAGTCACAAGATACATTGCTTACAGGCTATGTATGGCTGTGTACACGACTATATGTATATTATATATATATGTATAATATATAATAATATATATATATAGTATAATATACATGTAAATGTTTAGCTTGAGACCTTTCAATCTTTCACTGCACATTATTGGTGTGTCCAAGGGGATATCACTGATGAGTTTGTGGACAAGATCCAATACTTGTTTGGCGACTTGAAGGATGTCAAAAGGGACTGGGGATCTATTAGAAAAATTATTGGTATGAGACTATAAGTGTATATAATAAGTATTATTAGTATGGGAATACAACTATAGTAGGCAGTATTGGTATCGATTATAACTACAACTGGCTTAATCACTTTTATTACTGTGGGATTAGAACAATAAAAACCATATAAATATATTAGATATTCATAACTATATATAGGATATGTAATATATTATTGTTAAATATGTTTTTAATAACTATTTATTAACTAATATAGGGACTCTCCAGCGCCTGTTTCGTTGACACCCCAACGAATCGCCTGAGACACGTAGTTCAGCAGGTTGTAAGTATCACCCAGCTCCCGCCACATCCTAAGCCGATAACCAACAGCAGCAAGGCGCATTCATTTACAGCTCACTTATTCAATACTGGGCCTTTAAAATGACACACAAAAAACATCAAAAAACCACAAGTCACAGCACGGCTGATGAGATCCGTTGGCAATTATATATAAATGATATACAGTATTATATATATATATTCCCATGATAATCCCAGAATACCCTCTGGCCTCTTGTAATTTAACTTAAATGCTATGGAACATCACAATGCATAGCCAAATGGTGCCATGATCGTTACACGGCCCTGGGCCATCTATACCCGGCGCATGGCAAGAGGCTTGAAGATGCCGGTGGGGCTCTGGGCAATGACCTGTCCGCAACGGCTCAAAGGGAGGCCAAAGACTTTGGCCAACACCTTGCCTGAGATCAGCGATGACCAGAAGTGAAACCCCACGGGGTCACCACGGACCACTATAGTCACTATACAGGAAACAATATGAATCACTATATGTGGCTTGATTCGCCGTCGTTTATGTTGCAAGTTTACGTTGCAAGTTGATGAATGATCATGGTTTATCATCACTTTGCCTGTGTAAACTGTAACTAAAACGTACTAAAACTGTAGTTGTGTGCAATCTAAGTACCCACCCCTTTTAAGACAAAACCGCAAAGCAATGCATCAGCCAAGTCTGGGGAGTCTCTAAGTCATTCCAAGCCACGCGTAAACGGAACCTTGGATAGGCAATGTTGGGTGAGGTGGATCCCAACTGAACGGGATCACAAAAAGGAAATGCTGAAGGAGAACGGCCATGGTAAGGGAATGGAGGGCTGATTGATCTTCTTTGGCTTTGGTTGCATCAAACTGTCCGCTAGGTGTCCGGCATACTTCGCTTCTCAAGCAAACGCTTTCTTCATGAAACAACAATAACACGACAACAGCTCTCCAACTTCACAGCGTCGTTTGTTTTTGTCGAGAAACAGCCGTTTCCATCTGCAGTTGTGCATAAAAAATGCTGCAATTGTGCACCAAAACGTCCATCTTGATCAGGGGCTCCGAGTACCTTTCCAGCGACAAATCTGGAGCACATATGGACCCTCTGGCACCACTGACTTTGGCATGTTTTGGTGTCTGGGCCATATGGGTTTGTCCAAAAACTCGGGATACCCGAACGGATTTTTAGATTCTTTCCCATAGGATCCATGTATGATATATATATATGGTAACATTTACCATCAATATACCCCCAATGTTAGCATATATACCAGCACCATGGATCCTGTGGGTTTTTAGAAAAGGTGTCCAGAATGTTCAAAGAAACTCGAATTTCTCCAATCACTGGATTGGTTTAAGGGAAAATCTACACCGGAAACCCATGGCTTTTTACCATCAAATTGTTGGGGCTTTCCGGTTTCAATTTTCCCATCATCCAATTCTATGATCCCAATGTTTTTTTCTTGGCTGGCGCACCCCATGAGGCCCAAATAGCGCGGCGTCTTGGTGACCTGAAAGACCCTTCGTGTGCTGAGAACCAGCCCCGCTTGTGGGCGACGCTTCAGCACGAAGAAGTCCACCTCAAAAGGCGAGGTAAAGCGCTCAGAAGAGGGACACATTGGAGCATATTTCGCCAACAAAATTGTGATTTTAAAATATATAATTATATATATATATATATACATTTTTTTTACTGGATTTGACGGAAGAATATGGAAATGTTGTGGACATGTTGTGGACATCTTCACCATTCACAATTAAAAATAGAAAAAAAGGGATAAATGTCACCAATGGGGTCCAGGTGAGCATAGCCGGCGGACCACGGGAATCGGTGAACATCCATTGTGTGCAGGATTGTTTAAGATGGTTTTAAGACAAAAGAATACAGTATATATATATAATATATATATACAGTACAGTGTACAAAGCATTGTGTTTGCATCGAAAAAAAGAGTTCATGTAATTTGTGCTTTTGGTGTTCACCACACTACAGTCGTAGAGTTTCGTTTTGACCCAAACCGCTTTGACCCAAGCCCTGGTCTCTATGCTTGCCCGCAACCCTACCATACCGGCAGTTGATGAATTAACTCCAAGCACTTGAACGCTTTCTGCTGTGCAAGTTGCATATTTCCAGCACAACCTCAGCGAATGAGGCACCGAATGGTCGTCAAATGTTGGATGGTGGAAGACCCCAATGCGATGCTTTCAAGGCAACCTATATAATGACGCTAAGAACCTATCACAATCATGGTGAATCTGAGATTCTGAGAAAAACAAATTTGTTTTTAACCGTTCAGAATAGTACAGTACCGTGTGCATGGTGACATATTATAGTTAACAATGCAGGAAGATCAATTCGTAGTCAATTGGCTCAACACACCACAAGGGATGGTCATTCCGCGGATGGCTGCTGGTATCATCGTCTAAACCACTTTTTTGGGGGCCATCTCTTCACATTTCACAAGGAGAAATCAGCTTCTAGTGCTTCAAATTTGACAAACCAACATGTTGCATCATTTTGCAACAACATGTTCCATGGGAAAACTTGCCTTGCCCCATAATTTCTTTAAAAACACACATCAGGATCTGCTATAAAATCACTATATAACCTGAATAGTTCAGCCCTGTTGGGATGGTTACCCAATCCAAATCCCATCCTCCACAGTGACTTAACCCTGATCTCCCAATGTACCAGCATTCTTCTCGGGGGATCCCTCTACCACGCCGTGCCGCCGCCGTGGTGAAAGCTGTTTCGCCTAGCCACACCATCCCCAGCAATGCCTCCGCTCCGCAGGAGGCCTTCCTCTTGCGCAGCGCGGTGATGATGGGCCCCACAATGAAGAACAGCACCCCAAAGGCGATGGCCAGCTTCTGCCGTCCTAGTCCGATGGCGTTGCCCAGGGGGAACTCCCAAGGTTGCAATCAAGTATATATATATGTATATATACTATATATATACTATATATATATACTATATATACTATATATATATATATACACTATTTATAGGGTTTATATGGGTTTATCAATCCAGGGCTGACATTACACTTCCATGTGGCTACGGGAATTCTTAAAGAGCTACCATTTTTTTGAGGGGAATATGGATAATCATAGCTCCTTAGCTCCCTCCTCACCACCGGATTTTTTTTTTTTTTGCGTCTTTTGCGTTTCGTCCCAATTGTATTGGGGATGCGTGTGGTCGGATATTTCGTACCACATGCACCAAAATGAATTGCCTCGAGGAGGCATATGCATCAATAATTTGGAAGGCAAAGTGCCCGAATGTAACGTAATCGTTGGGTGCCTTGCAGCAAGCTATGGATTTTCAGAAACGCACTGAGCGCTCCAGTGTATGAAAGTAGACTTGTAGAAAATTAAATCTGGCGTTTGATGATCAAACGCAGGTCAACTTTACTTTGCAATGTCACTCGAACTGAAGCAATTTCCATTGCTACTGTACCGTAGGCAGGCATCTACACAATCTTGGCAACAGGAATACTCAGTAGGTGAAGGGTTTGGCTGTGCCTGGTGGAAACCGAAACAGCGTCTTCTCCACTGAGATGTCCTCTCCGTCAATCTCATTCACAACCAATTTCAGATTGCGCGGTCGAACAGCGATGTGTCGGCCGCATGGCATTTTCACACCATAGCGTTCAGCTGGAGTCAGAGTGGTGGCCACACGACCAACTTGACCATTGAGGTTGGCATCAGAGAGACCTGTCAGCCGCACTGACTGCCCGAGCTGAAGTTCCCCTGGATTCCCAGGATAAGACCGTTCATTTGCAGTGTAACTACCTTCATGTGACTTTGGCAGATCTGTTGTACCCTTAGGTCTGGAGGCGAAACTGGCAGAAGGATCTGCGGCACAACTTCCAGCAAGGAGGGCCATGTTACAGGCCCGAACAGCAACATATCGACCACTAGCCAATTTCACGCCATACCGCTTGGAGGCTGAACATCGATTGGTGACGACGCCCACTTCTCCATTCAATCCTTTCATGCTGAGACCAGACAGCAATACACATTGACCCACAGTGTAGTTGTCTGGGGCTGGTTGCTCTTGTAATTTAGGCTTGCTCATGGTAAGGGCATTGGTTGTGACAAACCCCGGTCCTGGCAAGCTCCAATCAACTTGCAAGTCCACCACCTTGAATTGAGACAAAGCAGCGAAAACCTGCATAGAATGCTCAAGCAACTCGTCATCGAAACTTGTCTGCAGCAAGCTGGCCCCAGCACAATGGCTGGAAAGAACCGGCTGCTCGCCTTTGGGCTCACATTCCTCTGTGGCGTGGCCTTGGCATATGTCAACGCCAAGATTACATCCTGAAACTGTATCATCGGACAGTAAACCAGATGCCAAGCTAATGGGTTGCCCAGTAGCCTCAGGTAGGTCACCTGGAAACATACCAGCATACTCCGAGCAAGCTTGCCGCCAGCAATGATGCAGGGCAAGCTCAAGGTGAGTAGCCAGTAAACAACATCTTTCTCTCCAGTATGGGTCTTGCACCGGAATAACAACGTATGGTGAATCGATCCGAAGGACCATGGGAATGCGAGAATCAAAGGGTCCGAAGTCTGTTGAAGCCTAGCAACTACTGGGAAGTCTCGGACCAAAGTGCCTCTCCTCACCACCGGATAGAACCAAACGAGACGGTATTTAGCTTCTCATGGAGCCAACATAAGGAAAATATAGGTATTATGTGCACAGCATAATATGCGTATGATTATGTACATAACATACGGTGGGTGGAAGAAATCCTGCACCACCTTGGATGGTTGAAACCCTATAAATAATGGGATAATCCAACTATCAACTGGTGCAGGATTTCTTCCGTACAGCACATAACTTATCTAATCATGAGACCGACATGAAGATGAGCTGACGGTTTGTAATGTCTCAAGACTTCGCAGTTTACTTGACTGCCTTTGCCAATAATGTCGTGAACAATAGTCAAAAACTGGAGATGGCAAAAGAATATATACTGTAATATAGTATGTATATATATATATGTATATGTATATATATATATGTATGTCTATGTGCAAAGCGGATAGGTGCGCTTCCAACAAGCTGTATTTTGGCTGCATTTCAACGATCGCGCTGTAGAATTGAAACTCAAACTTCACCAAACACTATATATATATATACATGTCCTTGAATGAAGTCTTAACCATCCTCCAGTTATAGATGTGTTTCCCATTGGAACATACTAAAACATATTAAAACACCATTTCTGAAGGATTTTTCCAGCTGGCCATGTTTCACCAGGCGGCTGGTCAAGCGTGGTGGCACTGTCCAGGCACTCAACACCTCTTCACCTGGGACCAGATGGTCTGAGGGAAGAGCCCAACTGAGGGGGAAAAAAGTCACGGCAAACATGGAGAATGCATAAAAATCATAAAACAAAACAAAACTTTGTGAGAAAGTACGAGATTTGCTAAAGCATGAACTATAATATGGAAATATGATCAAATAAATCGACAGCTTGTTCAGCCGTCATTATCTTCATTTCCAGAAGATGGATGTGGATAAAGATTGACCCTCCGTAGTCACGTGGGAGGTGGTGGAGGTTCTATCAACATTGTAACATGGGTGATCGATGATGCTACATAGGAATGACTGTCTTGGCAAGACATTAACTGCCTCGTCGACTCGTACTCTCAGGTTCTTCTACCATCTAATCATGCATCAGAACACGGTTCCCAGTGAAATAATTGTCCAAAGAGGATAGAACATCCAAAACATCTGACACAGCCAACAATTTTAGTATTGGTGATTATTGGTGCATGTTTTGGGATGCTAATCCAATAACTTCGAATCATCTCCGAAAAGAACATGACTTTCAACAGAAATCCAGGCCTGAAATTGGTCGTTTCAAACCCATCTGCGTGGTTGAAGACCCATCCCAAAGTTCCATGTCTCAATGAAGATGTACTAAGAAACTGGCTTTACTATGCAAATTCACCCAATAGTAAGTAATAGCCAAAACCCCATATTTAATATAGATATATAGTAACCATTAGTAACCCCAATTAAGATGGGTGAAGGGAACATGCAACCCCATTGATTAGTTACTCCAATTGTAATATCAATTTGCAGCACGCCGCCTTCCAAGAGCCCCAAGAGCTCACGATGGACGTTGAAGCGACGCACCTCGCCAGGTAGCCCAACACGACATCCAGCTGAAACCATGGGGATAGCCAACAAATATTGGGATTAATATGGATTAATATTGGATTAATCCATTTGGGATGAGTATTGCATGTATATATATATAAATACATACGCATAATATATATATATACACATATTACAAATGATATTATATAGTGTATGTATATGTTTACATAGGGCGAAGGCTGGAGGTTCCCCGGAAGCCAATTGCATTTTATTTGTATGGATATGGAAAATGTTGATTTTACACTGTGTTTTACAGTGTTTTATGCTTTTCTCTGAAAGTGTTCGATCAGCCAAAGTTTCAATGTCGGCATGGATAAACTTGACGTTTGTCCGCGCAGAAAAATGATAAATTTACATCTTCCATGGATGGCCAAAAATGTGTGCAACATTCTAACCATTGGAATTGCGGTTTCACAAATTTTTGGTCGTTTTGTTGCTAGCTAGAAAATGTCATAATTCACTGGAGAACCATGGACGAAATGAACATCACACCTTTATCATCTTCACGTCCACAAAGGCTTTTTGAAGCAGTTGCTTGGAGCGAGAGCAACAACGATACTTACAACGTAACAACATCGTCAACGAAGCAACATCCTCAAGGTTTCCACAACTCTGAATCCAACGCGCTCCACATGACGTTATTACACCCCCCCACCCCCCCACCCCCCTTCTGTAAACAACTACGATACTTGCAACGTAACAACATCTTCAACGAAGCAACATCCTCAAGGTTTCCACAACTCTCAATGCAACGCACTCTGCATGACGTTATTACACCCCCCCCACCCCCCACCCCCCATCTCTATACCATAACGACGCTTGTAGTATAGGCTGAAGACCGAGGGTTCCTGGAAGCTCCGGGGAACCCCCAGCCTTGAGCCTTTACATACATATGCAAATTTGAGATATACAATACATATGCTGTATATGTATTGGGATATAACCGTCCATTTGGTTACTACTCAAATACGACGTCTATTGAGATGTTCAGGGCGTAACTACAGGCAAACTATGGTAATTCCAAAAAGCATGAGCCAATTTTGAGGTGGATCATGAATCCCTCTTTTAGAAACCATCTTTTCTGGTGGGGTCTGGGGTCTGCAAGGTTGCTATTGCCCAGCCACAATGGGAGTGTTAATCATTGGGCTGAAAATAAACCAATCAGTGGCTGAGACACCCCAATCATGGAACCTTGCCCCAAAATAGGATTGAACAAAAAGAAACCACTATAAATATATATATAATTACATATATATATATATGTATTTAACTATATTTCCTTTTTTTATATTATATAGTCTTTAGAGAGATGTAGATAGTGATGCCTTTGCACAACATGTTTGCTGGTCTCATGTTGGAAACGAACAGAAGTCCCGCAAAGGCAAAGATACCGCGGTTGCATCAAAGAGGTTGTAGTCATCCCAGGTTTTCGCATTCTCCACGATCCTCAGAGGATGTTTCCCAGAAATACCAGGGAGTGCCCGGCTAGGTGGTACAAGTAGAAAGGATCAAGATCCCTGCTCCTTTCAATGCTCTCACGAAAAATATGTGCAGTCCACACGCAGAAAATTTCTGCACCAATTGAGCTTCTTAAGCTTTTGGAACGAAAATCAAACGCTAATCTGGGCTGATCCAAACCCGACCAAGGCTCTGAAAGGGATCGGACAATTTCTTGGTATCGCGGTTGCCCTTCTTTTCTTCCTTCCGCAGGCCCTGGAAAGACTTCGGGCACAACTGGCACAACACTGAGCCGTGGCCCCAATCGGTTGGCTTTTTGGAAAAATCTGCACATTACAGGACACTTTTTTTTGGAAATGACATAGTGGAGCTTTCATGTTGATTTTTCCTGAAAAATCTGGGATCGAACCTCTGAAAATCCTCTGAAATACTCAATTCAATTCCTTGAAAAAATTGGCTCTGCAGGTGCACATGACATGTGGTGCCTCGCCTCTTCCAGGTACTCCATGTGCTTGGGCACCCCATAGTAATGGTAGCGGAAAAAGAAGGTCCGTGCGATCCTGGGCTTGAGGAAATCTTGGGATCCTCCTACCATTAAGGCCACAGTTCTGATGGGCATGGCTAATCTATACTAATTCTGCAAAAACCCGTCATTAAAGATGTTAACTGAAGTTTGGCTCAAGAATCGTCCATTGCCCTGCCAAACCATGATGAGTCATGATGTTGTCAATATCCTCATGGTAAAATAGGGCACCTGCGGGGTTTCTGACAGCGTGCACTAGGCAGCGCATCCCCGGGCCAAGGCGCATCCCCAAGCAGCTCTTCTCGGTTTCGTGCAAATCCACGGTTTGTTTCTGCGTGGGATCGGCCTTGCAGAAAAGGGCAATGGTTCTGTCCGAAGTGGTCGTAAACCATGTTATTTTGGGGGGTCTGATACCAAAAGAATACAAAAGAATCCAAAAAAAAACAAAAAACACACATGCCATGGCACATTTCCCCAAATGCTCACACAAACCCATGTAAATGGACCTCGTTATACTCCATTTTGATCCATTTTACATACCCCATTTATGTAAGTGGCTTTTTGCTGCCCACAGCTCCAATCTGACCTCGAAGGTCACGTCGATCATGGGACAGTTCTCCAGCTGGTTACCCATCATCTGGGCTAACAAGGCGCTCATGTAGCTGGCGATCTCAGACCGATGGCGGAAGGACTGTGGAAATGGGAACAGGGATAAAATTCATTAAAATTCCATCAGCAACACATACTATGGACTGAGCTTAATTGGAAACTGTGGAAATTCAGGCAAGTATAGATTAGACTGATTAGACTGATTAGACTAGAGACTTGGAAGCAGATTAGGTATTTTCTCGCGAATTGAAGACTTTAATTATCCCTAATTGGATAGTAGATGGGACTGATCTCTGCCATTTGCGCTCCCTTTCATCCATTTTCGTCCCCGGCCGCAAGAGAAAATGAAGCCATCACCATCCAGCACAAGGCTCAATCAACAGGAAGATCTCAATGAGCTCCACCACATTCCTCACAGCGACGTGCTGACAGTGTCGGGTACATATGAGGGACATGTCTTGTTTGTAAAGATTGGCAAGTGTTTTTGGGATGATATTGTAAATCATGTGCTTGAAAATATCGGCATATACCAAGGGGAATACTTAAACTTTAAAAGCAGCGAGCTTGTGTTTACAAAATTGGGCCGAAAGGCACTTTAGCTGTACCGTTGAACAGATCCATTGGCTAGTGAGCTCGGTTTCCAGATAGAGTCAGGAGTTCATCTTGTAACCACACTCCTAATACTTCCCAACCATCCAATGTGGAAAACCCCGAAAAATAGACCGTACTCCGTTCTCCCAATTTCACCATGTGTATCCACTTGTTCATTCGAAAAGTTGCTGACATTTGCTGACTATGTTTATCATTGGTTCGCCACGGGATGCCACGGGCATCCACTAACTGCCGCCCGGCTGCTGGATGTCGGTGAAGTAGTGCAGGGTCATACACCGCACGCAGCCGTGGCAGCTATACATCTTGGCCTCTGGTGGAAACATGGGAGCAACTGCCCAGTGGATCTGTTGATCTTATTTTTTGGAGACCAGGATCTTTTTGGGAACATATGTTCATGTTTTCACTATCAAATGAATAAGTATGTTGCTGTATTTTGGAAATGACATCAGTTGGTGTCTGATTGGGAGGTGGCGCACACTGGCAAGCCTGCCACGTGATGTTGAGGTTTCGATTCTCAACCTGAACAGCGCAAGCTTTTGGAATCGCGGTGAGTTGTGAGCTCATCACAGCCCCATGAGGGAAACAACATCATCCCGGGCGAAAAAAAACAATAGATCCAACCTTGGAAGAAATCATGAATCATCGAAATACATAGGATTCCAATAGAAACCCATAGAAATCCATAGAAATCCATACATCATAGGAGTCCTTTGAAGCTTGCACTAGGAATCCACCGAAATCTCTGAAACCCACAACGGATTTCCCTACCTGCTCTAGGTAATACTCCGCATGGCGCTTGCCGAGCCAGTCCGAGGCCATGCCGTGCACCGTGTCCTAAATGGTCAGTCCGAGTCATAGATGATGGATGTGAACGGATCTGATGGATATTGATGGATATATGATGGATAGATTGTAGATGATGGATGATGATGGATGGTTTGAATCTAACATTCACGTGTGTGTGTGTATGTATATATATATATATACATTCATTATATACTCTTCTTATTCTGACATGTTGCTGTGTCTGGACGTGCCCGGTTGGTCATTGACAGTTGCCGGTTTGCAGCTGGAAACTGGTCCATCTATATACTTTGCTGATAATCCAGGGGGTGTCCAGGTGTCGCATGAGAAACCTGGCCTATCCATGAATATTGGTATGGCTCTTATTATGATTATGGGTAATTATTGGTGCCTATAATTGAGTTTATTGGTACCCATACTATCTTATATATCATGTTATATTATGATTGTGATTATGATCATGATCATTATTATGATTATGATTAAGATTAATAGATATAGATATATATATATAATGTTTATTATGACTATTATTGGTGCTTTGGCATCTATGATTATACCAATTTTATGTTGTTATTGTTATTATATTATGATGTAATAGTGTTATGATTATTATTGTCATTATGTAACTTACATATTAATTATCATTATTCCTACATATTATAGGTTATTAGTGTCATTATATTTATTTTTATTTATTGATGTTTATTGGTACATAATAAATAGTGTTATTACAATATGGTACCAATAAATATATACATTTATTTTATATGTTATTATATGATTGTTGGTACCTTTAATCATTGTACCCCTTCAGCTGCCCAGCACCAAGCCACGTTGGGTCCAGTGATGAGCTCGGCATACCTCCGACAGTCCAACCGCTATGGCTGCAGGCGCGGTGAACAGACTGTGGTGGGATGCGAATGGTGATTTAATGGTTAACTAATGGTTATAATTAATGAGTATTTATTGGTGAATAATGGTGAACAGACTCTTCAAGTTTGGTGTGTTTTGAACCATTCCCTGTTTCTTCAAGAAGGACCACCCGCATGTGGCACAGCGGATCCCCATAAATAGCAGCATCCTCCAAGGTGCATATCATTGCAGGAGGTCTCAGCAACTTCCATGATGATCTGCTTGGCCGCACCCACCGTTTCAACCCCTCAGCTGTGCTGAATTGTACTGAATCTGATCGTCTCACAGGAATAGCAGGGGACAGTTCCACAATGTTCCACAGAACCTGGCAGAATCAGAGAGAGAATGAAGGAAACATTACCCAAATGCAACAGATCATGAGGATGACCATCCACAAGACTAGGACTCGATGCAACCCACTCTCTCTCTCTCTTCAATGCAAGCAAGCTGCCCAGCCATTTTGCTATTTCCTGATGGCATCCGAATTTGGATGTGGTGAATACCAACATTTACAGATCCTGTCTGGGCAAATTGGGGTACTTAAGATGCATGAAGTCACACATGATTTCCAGAATGATCCACCATGGTGGTACTTGCCCCTAATTTTTCTCTATCCCAGCAACTTCGAGGTAGGAGGGGGCATGCAGGAAAGCTACTTCTACTTCTCTGTCCATGGTATTTCCTCACTCATGGACCTCATTCACTTTAAACAATGACAGTTTGATGTCCTGAAGCTCATAACATGACTACACAAATAAGTCACATCGAAACTAAAACCGCATCTTCTTTCCGTCACCATCCTTCATACATCTTTATACTCCATTTCTTGGCAACCCCCCCTTGCCAATTGTCCTTGATTGGAATATCTGCTTTGATGGCTTCTTTGGCCAAATCCTCTGCGAGCATTAGCCTCGACTCAGGGTCACGGCACTTTTTTTACCACAGCAAATGGAACAGCCACCATTTGAATTCCATAAAAAAAACTGAAACACTTCAGAAAAAAAATCGTTGTCTATCCATGTTGAAGCTTCATGATTTTCCTGGCAGTCCAACATGGTTCAACTCAAAAATGGGGTACCCAACATGGTCCAACACGGTCCAACATGGTGATGACATCATCTGGGGATGGGTCATGGCACCCTGGTACCCCTGAACCCCAAGTCATAGCTGGGTTAAAATGGATGTTCATCAATCCCACTAAAAATGTATCTATATATATATATATAGGTATTGATCCATAGCCATATATCATTTCTGTGTCTCTGAGTTGTTTTTCTCTCCAAAGCTACCAAGGCTCTTGTTGGACACAATGTAATGCGCAAACCACGGCGCCCGAGCCACCTGGCTCCATCAGGTCCATCCCTGGTGGGTTTCGTCATGGCACGGATTCTTTTGACTTCTATATGTATAATCAACCTTTAGTTACATAATCTTAATCATGTCTGTCTTGAAAAGGAATCAAATTCCAATCACCGGAAAAGACATATATCATATATTTATATATATATATATTATAATATATATATATAGTCATTGATCGCTTCAGAACTGTGAAATCGCCCCCGCTTGGCAAGCGGCTAAGCAATGGCTCCCTCAACACGCCCAGACACGTGAGCACAAGTGCCCTGGACGATGCATGGGGCCAGAGCCGTGCTGGTGGGACAGTTCTGGATGTTGATCAGCCTCATCCAAACAGTCCAAACAGTCCAAACAGTCCAAACAGTCCAAACACAGCAAAGATCAACGTAGTCAACTGATTCATCTGACCCAACATCTGGATGTTCTCTGAAGAGGGATGTAACATTGCAAGTAACCACCAACAATAGGGACTTAATCACCAAAATCACGGATTTGAGGTTGGCCAAATGTCTAGTCGTATCAGTTCACAAGGAGATCACGACCAATTGCAACGCGGGTACAAAGTATATATAGGTGAAATACTGTGTAATTGGTTGTGACAATGTTCATGAATACATATGAATACATATAATATACATATACACACAATATAATAATATATATATATATATATATTTATATATATATATATATCATATTGCATTGTGACAATTATATATCAAATATTTTATACCATCCAAAGCTCAAAGCAGAAAGGATCTATGATTCCTTCCCGGCTCCACCATGGACCTGTTGACCTGTTGTTCAAAGAGGTTGCTGTGTCCCATCTGCCAACATGCTCCAGGAAAACCGCAGGTGACTTTTCATCGCATCAATTCTACAGAACATGTCGAGCCTTTTGGCCTTGGATGGCCTTGGCCAAGAGACAGATTGTAAATGTTCACGCCGAAGAAAAACAGTCCCAGAGTACCTCAAGTGGCGTGGGCATCGAAGGAAACTGAGAGTCCGGGCACCCTGCGAGGCTCGGGGGCAGAATGCCCTGGTGTTGCCAAATTTTGCCAAGCTACCCAAGAAGCTGTTCCTTGGTTCAAAAATGTGGGTGCCCAAGTATGTGTATTGTTGAGGTGATGCGCATAGGCTACACTGAGCAACGAGAAAGATGAGAAAGTAAGGTAACACCATGTAACATCAACATTTGAAGTCATATGTTTGCTAGGTATTCCATCCAAAGTGTGTTGCATCTTGTTCCCATCATTTTTCGACCAGCATCATCAAACCCAGCACTAGCTGCAGAAAGCCAGCTGTGTCATCTGGTCCCGATGGGCTACCTCCGCCAGAGGGATAGCCTGCCCAGGTGAAATAGCAAGACGAGCGCAGCTGCAAACCCCTGTAGCTGTGAAGTTCCCCAATCAACGCGATTTCAATCTGAAACAAGCACGATATTTGGATATATTTGGAACAAACCAAAATCAGAAAAGGTGGGACCAGGAATATCAAGAAACTAGAAAGGCCCACAAATGTGTTCAAGCAAGTGATGTTCAAACTCTTCCACCCCTGAAGTGGTTCAAGGTGAATAAATCCCCTCATCACAACAGCGCCTCCGTTGTCGTATTCCAAAGGCAGTCGAGCCAAGGGTTCAAGGCAACGAAGGAAATTCCAGTTGGCACCTGAGTGACGGAGAGTAGGGGGACCCACCACAACTGGCTTGGTTATATTGTCCAACCATTTCGTAGCCCGCAAAACAAACATACCTTGTTACCTGGACCCTCAATTTGAATCCTGATTTACCCCATAATGTTCGCAGCTTTACCCATCTTTATGGGTCAATTGAGGGTTTTTAGATGTTTTTAGGTTATGCATCAACAACCACTGCCACCAAAAGGGCCACCACAAGGCACTGCCACCAAGATTCCAAGTTCCCAGAAGAGATTCGACATCGGATAGGGTCCGAAGAAAATCCTGGGCGGCCCAGTGGATCGCCTTCCGAGGCTCAGGTGGAAAAGGGGAAATTCTGCCGTCGAGGCGCCGCATGCCCCCCACTCGCCGTGGCTTCGCGAAGGGAGAGGACTTCGTGCCGCTGCGGAAGTACTGGGCGCAGCCTTGTGGCACAAAAACGAGACTGAATTCAGCAAAAGAACTAATACATGGCGATTTTATGGGAACATGTTCGATATTGCTAGATTATATACTTACTTAAATTTATATATAGTAATTATATATAATTATATACATGGGAATATAGTGAGATATATATTATATATTGGAATTATCTTGGAATTCAGCCAGCAAACATGAGGAGCCAACAAATCGATTGCGCACATCCTCGATCCAAGGTGCACGCGTTGTCGGATTCGTAGTAGTTCTTGGCGTCTGAATGGCCCCAGGATTTGATGGTGGCCTTGAAAAATACCAGGTTGAACCTCGAAGTGATCAGCTACTCAAACATGGGGGGGTTCCATGGAGGTTACCCCAATAGCTGGATGATTTAGAATGGAAGATCCTATTTAAATATATATTTAAATGGATGATTTGAAGGGGAAGATCCTCATTTTAGGAAACCCCCAGCCATGGCACAAAAAAGCCATGTCCGGGCCATTCCTGACATTCCATGACTTGGCCAAGAGGCAACCATAGGACAGCAGCAACAAGGAATGTGTACAAATGGACCTGGACAGCCAAATTCTCCAAAGTTGTGGCAAAACAGAGCAGCGCTGGGCCACGCTGGGCCTATGTTTTCGCTCTGAATCAACCGAATCAACCAACAAGTCGAACAAATGATGCCCTCAAATACATTAGCGTTGTACCAAGCACTGACCTGAACATGTGTTGGCTGTGCCAAGTGATCATCCCCAATCAACTGTAAGTATACATATGTCATCATATCTCACATGTAACATGTCATACAATATTGTAGCCTTATCCTTTCCTTATCCTTCTGATCTGGGATCCACTTAAACATAAACCATGCTCGCCTTGCCGTCGATGAGAACTGCAATCCTGAGCACCAGATCTGAGATTCGCGGCACGGCGGCACCCAGGATGTGACAGAAATTTGGGACTTTGAACCATCATTTGACCACACTTGAGATTTCAGCAACGACACAAGGGGGATTTGGTTGGGAGACCGTCAGAGGAGACTGACCTAGAGGGATAACCCCCTAGGTTTCACAACGAATAGGCCATTCAAGGATGATGGTTTCCCAAAGAGCCCATCTATGCGATTGATTTCTTCCATTATACATAAATTCCTGACTGGCCAACTCCAGTTAAAGCCAGTTCTAACCCTGTCAAGATCCTGATAGGTACCCTGCTCAAAAAACATACACGACCTTAAATGAAACGTGGCCCCTTGAACGCAAAGAAGTATGCATTCAAGCTGGATTGAGCAATCCCTAGAATGTCCCTCAGGACCTCTGGCTAACTAACCTGAAAGTCCAAAACTCAACTCCCGCATCTTTTTCTGTTCAGCATGGAATGTCAGTTGTATTAATTTCCCGCATGCATCATATGGTATATAATAATATCATACAGTGTATATATATAATATATTATATATACACACAATACATAGATGCAATCTCATAAATCCCAGTCTGTTGGCTGTACCACTCATTTTTGTTGATTTAACCACCATCATTTAACCTGCATTCTCAACATTTCTTCCTCCACAAGGCTTGCGTTCAAAGGTGCTTTTTTAACGATCTATGTGTCTGCTATGCTTTGAGGTCGCTGTCTTCAAACTACCTTTGTTTCTGGGCAATATCCCCATTGTTTGCAGCTCTTCGTCAAATATTGGCACTGGTCAGTATGGATGAATCTTTGGTACCTCAGATACAATAAACAGAATAAGCAGAATATATGCCCATAGATGACGATAATTAGGTGTTTCATCTGTTCTCATCTTGGTTTGATTACAACGAATTTTGCGCGATGTATTGATTTAACTGTATTGATTTTGACTGGAACTAGATCCCATCAGAAACAACATTTTATCATCCCACGATCCATCAGCTCTGACCCAGTTTCGGCTTCACCAGCATCAAGCGCGCTTCCACCCCGGGCGAGGGGAAGTTCATGGCCAGGTACAGCATCCGTTCGATGCTGCGGAAGTAGACCCTCAGTGCATGGTTTTGGTGCAGGAAATGAGAGCTTGAAGTGCATTTCCTGTTGTGTGATGTTGTGTGTATATACATTTATGATATTTCTGTATCTAAAAACCAGAAAGTCAATGTTGGTCTCGCCGAACTTTGGGTTCGCTCACCTTACTAACAGGGATAGGAGAGTTGGCTTAACCTCCCAAACAAGTATGGGGATGGGTCAAAACCTTGTACCCCTGGTGAACATCAAAATAGCTGGTAAATGGATGTTCATCCCACTAAAAATGGTATTAATAGGTATTGATCCATACCCATATACTACATGGATGAGGATCCATGACGGTTCCTTATGGTTTCTTTAAAGCATCGACCGTTCCACACCGTTCCACAGACCTGAAACCCAGACGATCCCAGTGGCAACGCTACAGCAGTCAGCAGAATGATCATCATCCCAGCGCTGCTCAGCAGCCGCGCTGACCTCAGCGAGCACATCGAAGAGGCGATGTGTGTCTTTTTGTATCAAAACTGATCGGGAAAAATATGGAAAAATGCTGATATACCCTCTGGTAAACTAACATAACTATGGAAAATCACCATTTTCAATCATAAAATCCACTATAAATGGTCATTTCCAATAGCTATGTTAAATTACCAGAGGGTAACGGTATGAATCTAATGTAATGTAATTAGTGTCATGTCATGTAATGTAATTGTTATTAATGTCATATAATGTAATTGTTATTAAATGTTATTAATGTCATGGAATGTAATCTTCGATGATCATTAAGTGGTACAACATGGTACAACACCTTTACCCGATTACCCCATGGTTTGCCACCTGCCAGCCGTATCCAGCCGTGGAGTCTGAGCTGCTCTGAGGATGGGTTCAACGGCTTTCGCATCAGATACATCAAACGACCCGTTTTTCCCAACACGCAGACATTGCTCTCTACCTTGGAGACAGGCATTGCACTTGAAACATCTTGAAACAAAGAAAGACATTTGGGTGTGTCTGAAAATAGTGTACCCCTAAACCCAATGGTTTTGCTGATCATTATCCCTATTAAATGGCTATAATTGGGAATATACCCTATTTTCAGACAAACCCATTTAAGTAGCCAAAAATATGCCAAAAATATGCTTAAAGCACCTATGGTTGGCTGCTAGAAATCGTTGAAGCTGAAATCTATGGCTGGAAAATCCAAGATCCACTTGTCAGTCATCCGGTATCGAGGATTGGTGGGTCCAAAAGTTTGAGATGCCACCCACACAGTAATGACGCAATCATGACTGGTTAATTACATCTGGGAATGGGTTCATCCATGGTCACATACTTGTCAAACCCTGGTACCCTGCCTAGTGCTCACCTGAACATGCTGCTGGTTCCCATCTGTCCAATCAACTTTGCAGGTCCTGTATTCCCGTGAGCCATTCTGCACGTAAAACATAATGATACACCCAATCATTCCGTCCCCAAACAAGGTATCAAATGCCCAGGTATCAAATGAAGGTGCCAATATGTGCCACTTCCAATTGTCGAAGGATTGCTTGTCACAATCGATTGCACCAAGTTCGGAACAACCCAAAGAATATATCACCAGGGTACTGGCGCAAATCAGTCAAGGGTATAGCGGTATAATTTACATTTATCATCATTTATTTGAACCCACATCTTTGTGATCCCTTCTGCTTTTCTTCATTTAGTTATATTTATATATATATTTCTTTAGTATAATATATATATATATATATTTAATTATATTTATATATCGCATATGATTGCTATCCATATTGCAATATGTTGTTGAACATGCCGTTTTTCCCAAGACTGATCCGCTCATTGGGAGCCGAGATGCGGGTTCTGTGACGATGAAGTGGTACAAGGACAAGCTCATGCACTGGGTGGTGACCCATTTCGCACTGCCTGATGTAACGGAGTGCAGAGATATAAACGGTTGACATTTGGTCCATTTTGGTAATAATACATTTTTTTTTAACAAAATGCAGAAAAAAACAACAAACAATGGTAGAGAAGCTGTCCGAACTAGTATTTATTTATTACTTATTGCACAAAAGCGGCGAAATAACCTGCTTGAGCGGAGCAATAATAAATACTATCGATAATATCGATAGACTCAACATGGGCGCAGTGTGTTGACCCAGGTCCATGGCAGACAAGGCACTCATCCCTGCTACCTCTGTCACTACCTTGGCTGCATGGATAATTTGATGGCTTGACCTTACAGGTGAAGTCTGAAGTGATCAACTTTGGATCCACCATCATCGCTACCAGCATCATGATGCAAGTGCCAACTAGTGGAAATCTATGAAATTTGTAAAATTGATTGGAAAGAATGGCTATCACCTGATTGAGTGGACACCTTAGGCTTTGCCGGAAATGAGGCGCTGGTATCTGGCAACAAACCGAACCTGCCCAGCATCTTTGTTACCGCACCTTCTTTCTTTGCAAAAAAAACACAAGGGTTTCTAGAAATTGTCAGACAATCCAGTATGCTTCAATGCAAACAGCTCAACTAATTCCATGATTCCATGATCATCCCATTGAGTTCTTACTATGTTAACTAATATTGGCAGTACACATCTGCAATGAAACAGGTAAAACGTATTACAGTATATATATATATATTATATATATAACATGGAAAAAAAACAGTTTGCCAATTTTAGCTGTTTTGTGGCCCAAATAACATAAATAACCGCCTCTCCCATCGTCCAAGCATCCATTTGCAGAATGCCACCTAGACCTTGGCAGAGGCTGCCACGGGCGATCCCAAATCTTTCGCACACAAAAAGGATATGCCTCTTAAAAAACGGGAATAAAAAACGGGCTCCCCATCTTCTCCAGAACATTCCTTGGCGCTCCGGCCATCTTGCTCTTTGTCCGTCAGGTACTCGTTCAACTTCATTTTCTGCCTGAGACACGGAGGGAGAGGGATCTCTGGGTCGCTTGACATGACCAAAGCAAAGAAAAAAGACCACACGCTGCATTCACAGGCAATGCGGAACATCATCTTCCCATCTGAAGTTGAAGAAACAAGTTGAAACAAAAACGATCATCTCATATTGTTCAGAACGTTCGCCTTTGTAGCCCCGTTTGTCTCCTTGAAGAAACTCCAGGTCTTCCGCTGAGGGGGATCTCAGATCTTTCGGAGTAAAACCACCACATGGGTGTGTCCAAACCAGAGTGTATACACCGAAATTCCAATCAAAATTATTTGGAAACCTTGCATTTGAAAGCTTTAATATAAAAAAATAAAAAATGAAAAAAACTGAAAAACACTATTAATTAATTTAAAAGTAAATTCAAAAAATAGGAAAAATAATAAACAAACAAAAAAAAATGTGAATCAAAAAAAAAATGAAAAAAAAACTTTTAAAAAAAATCTGAAAACAACTTGCCACAATAGAGGCCCCCCCAAACATCATGGAACTGAATACGGAGAAAAAAAATGCCACAATAGAGTACCATCCTACTAATCGGGTGCCAACATTAAACCCGTGAAATTTGGGGTGCCCTATTTTCACACAACCCCCCATATAGCTCGACATTAAATCAATTAAACAATAAGCAGAGCTTTGGCCGCGGATCCCAGATGATCCCAGGCACTGGTTTTGCGCATCCTGCATCCACTCCTCTCGCATCTCTTTGCTCATCTCGTCCGTTCGAACATCTGCGAGAGTTGGGGAGTTGGGGATACCCGGCGTGGAAAATTCCAGCATCCCCAAAAGGATGATCTGCTTCCCATTAGAGGGACATGAGCAACCTAGGTATCATCTTTGGGGTTCATACATTGATAATCTTGGTAATTAATGCGGAAACCTCTGACAAAGGTGTTTCTGTGATCCTAAAAGCAAGGATGCACCAACATCTTCTGTTTGTGGAGACAACATAATTGAGGATTGCACCCAGTCGTATCAACTGTGCAACTAATTGCTAAGCAGGTTCCGCACAATACGCTCTGCTGTTCGTCATGTTTTACAACGCTGTTTCATCCTGTATGGCCAATTCTCATTTACACTCTTACTCTTGTTTGTCTCACACATCCCTCCCAGTGCTAGGACGCTCGGCATCTTAGTTAATTAATTTGCATCATATTCCCAAACAGGAATGGAAAAAGGCTTTGAAACCACACATTCAGTAAACATTGAAACGTTGGCAAAGGAAAGAACTTCAGCTGACAGAATTTATATTCAGAGTTATTTAGAATACGTTCCAATATCATCTACAGTACATAATCAGTCACAAACTCACAAACCCTATGCGCCCTACTGTATTCCCTGCAGAGGCCAGTCGTTCGGCAACCAGGTCATCATCTTTCCGGGCCTTTTTTGCCAAAGAGTGACTGCGAAGCCTTTTTCATTTGCTCATAGATCCTCGGATCACTACTGCTAGCATCTGCCAGCAGTGGTCAAAATCGTACCTTCTCGTACTTCTTGTTGAGGACACAGCATCAATTCTCAATTTGTCGGGCTCTCCACAAGTAAGATCGAACAATGTTGTTTATTGCGGTATACCGTATACATCCGTATACCCAATAATCAACCATCTCATTCGTGAGGTTTCGTATTATTGAGTTTACCACATCAATATGTTGTTCAATCATGATTCTCTACTTCCCGTCTGAAAAAGAAATGCCATCGGCCGAGAATCAGTGCCAAACTGAGCCCGGCGAATGGCATGATCAGCACCCTGGTTGCGCGAAATCTGGGAAAGTCCGTCCGTCGTGCTGCCAAATGGATGGGCTGTGCTGAGGAAGTCATTGCAGAATTTGAGTCCTTTCATGTTATTTACATGTATATTATATACTACAGTAATATACTGCAGTAAATCAAAGTACTTTGATTGGTTTCCAGTCATTTCCGGTGGTTGACCATGAATTCCCCAAGAAACACCATGCCCGTGCAGAGTAGATTTTGATTTCCAGCTCAGTACCAAGGGCGAAAGATGGATCATCATCCAAACATTACCACTTCCAACCAGAAAAAAACATCCACACATCATTTTCTGTGGATCTTCCAGATTTGTTGAAAGAAAATCATCATCCTTTGATCCACCGTAAATCTGGTTCCAGATTCACCATATTTCTGGCGTTCCACCAACCGTCATTTTTCATCTCCCAGAAATCCCAACGCGCTGACTGCAGCTTCGCCAAGGGACAGGTACACGGCCTCAGTGCAGGTGGCTTTCATCCACTTCTCCTGAGCTCCAGGCTCTTCACCTCGGTGGTCATGGGATGTCATGGGTGAAATACCTGGTGATCAACAGATTTAACTGATTTAACTTGGTCCAATACAGTATTCTAAGTAAAAATTGGCTGTTTTAGAAGCAAGAACTGTTTTCATAAATGTTAATAATTATATATATATATAACTATATCATAGGGAATGTTTGGGATACGTGGTGGTGTAATGATGAATAACATATATAGGGATTACAAGTTGATTTGACAACAACGAGATAGATCAGGGGAACTTGCGAGCTGATTCCCGGGCATGTTTTGATTGACTAATTTCCAAGACTTTGTTACTTGTATCCCCATGTTTTGCGGATATGTCACATTTCTCTTTGATCTCTTGGTTCCCAATACACTTGTAATTATTAATTACATACTTAAATCTTGACTCCCCAAAACATCCCCCAACCCCCTGAAAAACGCGCCACCAAAACACGCGCTGTGGAGTTGTCCGTCAGATTTTGATCTCCCTCCAGGTTCCTGGTCGTTTTTTGTGCCCGAAGGATGACACAATTTTTTGAGATCCGAAACTGTAGGCGGTTCAACGGTGCTCACATTGATCAATGATATCATTGGAACCCTACAAATCCACAAACATCAACTGCTTGGTGACCTGGTGGTGCAATGTGCCCATCTTGAAAAATATGAGTTCGTCAATGGGAAGGATGACATCCCTTTTCTATGAAATGGAAAAATCATCAAGTCATGTTTGAAACCACCCACCAGTCATCAACTGAGATTTAAAAAAAAAAAACTGGGAGAATATCGGAGATTTGATCAGCTGATCCATCTGTTTCAGCGGCTATCCTCCACAATATCCAGCCCCCAAACATCCAAAAACTGTGTGAAAAAGGTCAAGCCGATCCGATCTCTTCACAGATCTTGGGTTAACTTCAAACCATACTCCAACCCCCACAACCAGCCCCCATGGCCAAGGGGCAGCGTGCCAAGCAAGGCCATCATGATCACTAATGCCTGCACTGAAAGCCCCCAACCCCACCTAGTGACAATCACTGGGACCCCCTTTGGATGTCTTTGTCCTGCAGGCTTTTCCTCAGGTTTAAGCCATGCCATTGGATCAGACATGTCTGATGTCTAGTGCCCCAGACCTTCACCATGAAACACTCCCAGTGCCATCAGACTGTAGCGCCGGTATGCACGATAGTGACTTACTATGCTTGTTACCACCAAGATTGGGCTGTTGGATTTGAACCCAGATCTAGTAAATTCGCGGAAATCCCCAATCCATCCCCAGACTTAACGAAAATCATGGACTGAAAAATGTGTTCCCTTCAACAAACATGGTTTCTCGCAGCATGGGTCAGTGATGCCTAGTACATCCTAGTACCATATCGTTCAACATTGCCTTTCGAATGGGAACATGTTGGATGCCCCACTTGATAGCCAGTCAAACAATGATGGTGATGTCCAATTTTGTGGCTATTCATCGAGAAAATGAGGTTCTGAGCCATCTGATCTTGAGCTACCTCCATTTTTGAAACATGAGATTCAACAAGTAATTCCATCGAGGTTACATGATTTACAGTTTGTCATGTACTAATCCTTCCCATTCTTCATATGTACTACCCACGAACAAACCGTGTTAAGTATCTGACTCATACTCCACTTTCTGATACATTTCTCATACATTTCCCCGTCTATACTCCATACCCCGAAGCAACATTGGCACCTTCTGTTCCACGTTGCGGTACAGCGTCCTCACCGTCCAGCTCGTGCCTGCCACAAAGCCTTGGCTGTTTCCAGGTCTTTGGGTTTGGCAATTCCTGTCATCTGGGTGACATTTGATGAAATTTGGAGATTTTGGAAAGTGAAACTCCAATTTTCTTGAAACATCTATTCCATATTTCCTCGAAATCGAGCTGATTTTGTTGATTTCCACAGATTTTACCAGCCAAATATATCCAAATTAATATAAGTTTGCTGGTAGATTGTTTATGTTTTTTTGTTAGATTCATTCCGGGATGACTTAACTCATCAACCCAAACATTTGACTCTTTGAAGGAATCAAACATATACGCAGTAATCACCATGCGACTCTTAGGAACTTGGGACGACCATCCTGTCCATTCTCAGGGGTGTCCACCCGTATCATCTACCAAATTATGTTGGACAGGAACATGTTCATAAATGGAAACAGCTGTCATGTCATGGAAAACCTTAGTGTCACATGGAACCCCGACTGCATCCAGGGCACAACAACAGTTGTTTTTGCACTTCAGTGTGCAAAACTGGTTTTCTTCGCACAGCGGATCCTCAGTCACGTGAGGTACATCCGCAAGTTGCAATTGTGACCCAAGCCCAATTCTGACCCGTACGAGTACCTTGTACGTGAGAGATCAATGGCTTCTTAATGGAATCCATAGTGTAGGGTGAAGTTGGGTCTAAGATGAATATGCTACGCAGTATGTATATTTTTTCAAAAATAAAATATTTAATTAGTGAATATTTGATCATGGATATACAATGATCATACAGATATAGTCTGGCTTATGCTCCCATCTCTTCCATTCTCAGAGACAGGCCTACCACCTGAATTTGCTGAGCGTGAAAGGTGGGTTGCACCCCCAACCAAACAAAAACCACCAGCATGCATCACATCGTTTCAGCAGAGACCCGCATTCAGTTGTTATTGGTTATGCGATCTCCCTTGTATTTGGCTACATTCATCCTGATTGTTGCTGGGATCACACTAAAGTTGTCCATGTTATCATTTTTTATTATCTATTATCTGGATAAAAGATCGTAATAATCACCTTAAAAGTTCTAACATTGGGGGATTTTTCTCCGGATAATCCCCCCCAATCCCAACCACAAATTACAGTGATATCACCTCCACCAAGTGTCGGATTTCACTTTCCAGCACTCACGCGCAACACCTGGGAGATGCAGGCAGATTGATCTGCAGAGATAGATCTGGAAACGCCAATGCCATAAATCTACCATTTGGTCATGGTTTTTACATACCATGACCATGGAAATATGATGGAACTATGGGAATGGCTTAAAACTGACTTTACCATACTTTACCCGTATGACTACGATATAAGAAATACAACGAAGAGTTAAGCTATTGATCAGCAAATTCCAACACGCACGGCTCACCATGCAGGTGCAGTATATGGTGTTGAACACGCCGTGCTTGTCGCACGGACCTGGTAAATATGGTAATGCCGTTTGATGCTGTACAGTATATAATATTATATTAATATATATATATATATATATGATATGTAATATAATATCATGTACATAGATGAAACTTACATTTAGATATGTGGAGATCATATCGGTACAGTATGGCATTTATGGTACAGTAGCTTAGCCCGGGATTCATTGGGTGGAACAGGGCCCATCGTTGGATCTCAGCCGCATCTCAGGTAGTAGGACTCCTTCATGCGAGGATTACCTGAGCCCAACTGAGATCTTCCCAGGGTGCTGGTGTAGCTTTTTTGCAACCAAAGGTTGAGAGAAAAGTGGGACACCTAGAAAATGTGGGTAAACCATCATCAAAAGCATGCTGGAAGCACTTTTCGGCTTTTTTGGGGGTTGATGTAGTTAGAAGGATGTGGGAAACACCGAAACAACACAGGTTTCGTGATCATTCATCGGCTATTTTATGATATGTCTGATTCGTTCCCCCCAAAAAAAATACCCTCTGGTAAATTAACATAGACCCTGAAAATCACCAATTTTTAGAGGAAACTAATCTTCCAACCCCAATCTACCGGGTATTTCAAACCTTCAAATTCATCACGGCCATCACGGCAAAATCTGCAAATGAGTGACAGCAAATGCTTTGGCCTTCCTCGCACTTCCAGGGCTTCACCACTTCACCCCCTGCCGTAGGGATGTGCAGTACCCAAATCTGACAGAGCATGAAAACTGGACCAACTTTATTGTTTCAAATCAAATGACTAACATAGAGTTGGAAGGAAACTAATGACTAACATAGAGACAATTCTGTGTACTTTTGAGGTGTTCAAAATTGTCAAACTTCCATAAAATCTCCGTAATGTCCATCAACAAAATCTTCCATATTTCATCATATTTCTCTGCCGCCTGTGAGGTCGCCTATGGCCAAGGTCCAATGCAGCTCTCCAGGAATCATTATACTGGTTGCTAAATAGGTGTACCTATGGGCTGGTAAGAATAGTCCCCAAATAAACCAGCTGGTCAAAACCCCTATACTAGAATCATCAACCATCAACCAACCAACCATCCAACCATCCATCCAACCATTGTCAATTGTACCCCCATACCTTGAGAATTCAAACAACCATAAACAACCATAGATATCACAGAGCCACGCCTTGTGTGCACACCGTCTTCAGCTCGCCGCCTTCTTCGGTCTCTTCTTTCTTGCAGGTCACCTTATTTGCAATTGCAGCGTATAGAAACCATGTATCAAATGGTCCATGGGTACAGTCATAGGTATAAGGAAGTATTAAGGAAGTATAGCTTACTATCGGCGTTGGCCTCTTTCTTTGGGCCTTTCTGTTTTCTGGCTTTTGGACCCCGGAACTATTTGCAGATTTCCAGGAACTGTTATACTGTATAACGTATCAAGCAGCTTTACTGAAACTTTAACTATATCAGATATCAGACTTCTTAGTCTTATCATGTCTTATCATCCAAGTGGGCATGGTGAGTTCCAGGTCTCAAATGCTGCCTGGCAACTGGTTTACTTTCCTGAGACTCACGCTGTGGAGTGGCACGCTGTGGGAAATGTATTTCCACGCTGCAATTTCATGGGGAAAATGGAAAATGATGAACCGTCAAAACCGGGGTTACCATTTCAGACAAACCCATGTGAACATTCCAACAGACCGACCAGCACCTTATCATACCTTATCATTGGTTAAGTCAAGTCCAAAACCATTCGTTTAGAGCCTTTTGAATGATTGAAGCCAAGAGATCTAAATAATGCCCAAACAAACCTCAACTGTGGATTCTTGATTCTTGGACGCCTTCTGATGTTGCGAGCAGGTAAACCACTGCGTGAACCTTGAGCGTTGATATTCGGTCACGCATGTTGCCATGTTGCCATCTTTGCTGGTGGTCTCAAGCCAACCCAAACATAGCATGCATCTAAGTCTAAGTTGATTGTTCCAAATGATTTGAGACATGACAAATTAGCCATATTGTTCCAGAAAAACAAGACTTTCACGCGGAAACACAATCAATCACATGGGGTTTCGTCCTTGCCACGGCCACGGCCTATGAGAATTAGTCTTGCATGGATCCGATTTGGTAGCTGTCCAGCCTCTCTGTGTGGTTCTATGATTCTCAAGATTATGGAAGTCTCCTATTGAAATGCAAGGCAACAGTTGATACTTGAGCCAGCCATTGCTAGAAAGGGAAATGGAACAAATGAACACATAAATTGAAACCACCAAACAAATCAATTGACGCATGTCCATTAAATTTCCCAGGCTCGTTTAAAAATACATATATGTTTGCATATATGTTTACTAGATTGGATATATGAGGATATATATATATATATTATTATACTATATATATTATATTATATCATATCATATCATATTATATATTATATATATATATCATATATATTATATATAGCTAATAGAAGCATATCCACATCTTTAAAGCCAACCATGCCACCTTGCGCTCTCCAAGCTTCATCCAGTGGGCCCACGTCCATCCCCTCCTCACCGATCCCCTCCCGGGGCGCTGCCGAGTCCACCGAGACCTCTTCACCTGGCGGAGGTCTCGGAAACGATGGGCAAAAACCCGGGGAAAACCATGGGAACTGGGCAAAATGGCTGGCAAAAACCATGTGAAACTGAGATGAACATTGGAAAATAGATGAAAATGCTGGAAACGATGAGGATTATGAGGTGCTTATTCAAAAATCATGTAACAAATGAGGATCACCCACGAACCATGTGTGACTATGAAGTGTTGCAACATCCCAATACCCATGGAGCACCTGAAAACTTGATGACTTGCTTGCCTGAAACCAAAATGGCCTATATTATATAACCCACATAGTATAGGAGGACTTGCCTTATGAAACTCCTCATAGCATCTGATATCATCTCAGATTGTCTGCGCAACTTAGTGTGTCTGACAATGGGGTATGCCCCCATAGTAGCTATTTCAATAGGGAAAATGATGAGTGGTTCACTGGATCTTACAACAGTCGTTTTCCCAACAGCCATCCACAGCCCAATATGGAGGTGTCCTAAATGCCCTGCCTTCAGCTTCATCGTCCATGAAGCTGGGCCTCAACAAGGGCCAGTATTTAAGCAAAAATCAAATCAAGATGCTTGATCCATACCCATTTGTTTCACTGCTGCTTTCGGAGCCCTTTGCCATTTTGAGACATTCCCCAGGATGCTTTCTGACCCCAGCAATCGACCGCGCCTGAGCCTCTCTTCTCCGAAAGCATCCTGAGTGCCATGAGGCGCGGTATGTCAAGGGTATAGGTCCAACCATTTGGTGCGCCAAAATGGATGGACATGAACGGATATCTGTGACTGAAGTATACTGAAGTCCATGTTTTATGTTCTTCGTGTACTCTCAAAGGGGGGAAATCTATCCACTCCTCCAGGTGAAGCACCTTCTGCCCAAGGCTTGACAGCAGGTACTGACCACAACGGCGACTAGCATTTGATTGCCACATGGGTGTAGTAACTAATCACCAATCAAAAAATGAAGAAGACAACACAAGTTTTATCCAGAATTTATATTTTTTATTGGTGTAACATAATTTTGTACCAGAATTTATGTAGAAACCCCGTCCCCTTGGCAACGGAAGCTGGGATCCCAAGAAATGTTTAACAGTAACCAGCAGCAAATCAATCGCCAAGTGGCAACTTCAACTCGCAAGCGGCCTCCATGGTGTCTTTGACGCCTGCCAGGCAGTAGGTTCAGCCCATATTTGTCAAAAATCATCATCAAAAGCGATGAAAGAAACAAATCAAATCATTAACCAGCGATAGCTAGTCTATATGCATCAGTCTGTCTATCTAATAATTTAATCTCGTCTAGTCTAGTCTAGTCTACTCTATATATTACATATACATATCATCCTATATCAATAAAGACATGTTATATAATGCCATATATATATAATGTATATAATTATATATCATAATTATATATGTATTATATTATATATATATTAGTCATATGACTCATATCTACATAAATATGAGATCTCGTCACTTTGCGGAATCATTCACCGTGGCCCACGTGTTTGGGATGTGAGAAGCCAGGCCTGATGGGATGAAGGGCCTCCTCGCCTTGGCCAGCGATTCACTTGTGAATCGCTTCGGCAAGATCTTAGACATGTTGTCCCGGAACAAACACCAAACCAATGTCATTACCCTCTGGTAATTTAACATAGCTATTGAAAATGACCATTTATAGCGGATTTACCCATTGAAAATGGTGATTTTCAATAGCTATGTTAAATTACCAGAGGGTATTTATGGTGAACATAATATTTGTATGGCATAAACTAATACTTATTGCATCGTGTTTGTGGTTCTTGCCAAACCAAAAAGCATAAATTTGATCAGATTTGACATATTTTGAAGTATATAAGCACATACCTTCTGAGTGAGCAAATAAATGTCTTCGGGGTCGAATGTCTTCGTCACATCTGTGGATGAATTTGGATCCAAAGAAAGGGTGAAACTGTGATTTTGTGATCATGGTTGTCCGAATGTCACCCAAGTTACAGTTTGACACATGCCGTGCCCGACTGGACAGCACCAGCTTCTAACACACAAAATGATACAGCCAACAACATGAAAAAAACTAGATGTAATTAGCAACAATGATGGGATTTGGAAGATGGATGGAAGAAAAAAGACACACTATTGAATTGGTGGATGGTCCTTGCAACACACCCAGGTCATACACAGGTTTATAAAAGTGGTTAGAGATTGGAAAGCTTGATGTGTTTTAGAACGCGCTTATTAGCCATGTACAGTATACCAGTATACCAGTATACCAGTATACCCTCTTTTAATTTAACACAGTCTATTTATAGATCAGTTACCTATTAACCCTATTATTAAAAAACATGGTTTTCCATGGCTATGTTCGTTTACTGCAGGTGATCACGATGAGTTTCTTTCCGCCAAGTCTTTTAGTCAAGGGTCGCTTTGAGCGGTCGATGCCTTCTGCAGACTGCAGATGAGCCAGAATGCATAGCCTGGCGATGAAGATTTGGTGGAACTGGTGGCATCGACATCCCCAATTGGATGCACGACCCCAATAATGATACCATCATCAAAACGTCAGAAGCTTTTGACAAGATCTGTAAAGCCTTTGGTGTCAAACCATAAAAATTATAATCCATAATACATCATAAATATACTTACTTGTATGTGTCTTTTTAACATGTTGAATCGTTGAAGTGCTTCTTTTGGTTGGACACGGATTCAAGGACAGAACCCGAGTAAATGTACACTTCAAAAAAATATCTTGGAGAACTTCTGGGGAACCCCTGTTTAAAATTCCCATGCAAATTTACGGGTGTGCCAACTTGTACCAACCAGTATAGTAAAGCACTGAGCACTCGTGAAAGCCATGTTCGCCAAGTAGCACCAGAGGCAGCCAACGCATGGCTTGCTTTGCTATGGAAAATGGAGAAGGCTGTCCTTGTTGCAACACTGAGGACGTTCCAAACGACATAATTTGCAGTTTGTTCATCAAACTCTCTCTATCTCTCTGCATCTTCATTGCTGAACAGTTGCACCATGAGGCAGGGTTGCAAGAGTGGGAAACATAGATACGCTGCTAAATGGCTAAATCAACTAACTTCTTCCATCAGCCTGATAGACATCCTTTGGGGTTTTGTCCTTGCATGAGATTTAGCTACGTCTCTTGCTGGAGGGGCACCATAGTGTCTAGTGCGATCTTCTGACCTTGCCACTACCCAAGCCCTCCATTCCAAGGGGCTGGGGGCATCGATAAGATCTTCATCAGGGCAGCAAAGGACTGCTGGCAGAACAGCAGCGAAAAGATGTGTTGATTCAGGTTGCTAAAGTAAGGGATAGATGTTGTTTGAGATCTGTAGGTCACTTTGTATCTTAATGATTGAACACGAATGTTTAATATGCTGAAAAAACACGCACACACACGCACACACACACACGCACATAGCCCAACAGTTGAACATCGGACCACTGCGTTGAGGACCAGTCATGTTCAAATGATGTTGTCCTGGTCCATTTTGAGTCAATGTTGGCAAACTAAGCTAAATGGCTGCAAGAGTGTGATCTGAACCAGGTCTGCTGTGGATCAACATCCGTTCAAATTCCAGCACACCAATTGTCCTTTAAACCTGTGAACTATTCAATCTCATATATCCAAGCTTGGGGTTTGCACCAGATTACATTACATCTCGGTTTTAGTGGTTGTTTTCGTATCTTTGCTCTTTGCTCCTGTGCATTTTGCCTTCGTTGGTGTTTCAACCATATCTGATTTTATCCGCATTGTTATACCAATATTAATGCTACCAATATGTACCCATTATATTAATTATACAGTATCGTTGTAATAACGTGTATATTCTATATATATATAATATATATATATATATTTGTTTTTCCTTCGGCTACAGACCAACAACTTTCCTTCCCAGTTGGCACTGAGGATCTCAACCACCCGATGTGCCAAAAAGCGACCCGTGGCCACCCCTTGTCGTTCTGGGCCTGAGCTTCGGCATGCACGATTAGCCACCTGAAATCTAAGATGACCAAAAAATGGCTCTGTAAAACGAGTCTAATGGTGACTATAATGGTGACTATAATGGTGACTATAATGGTGACTATAATGGTGACTATAATGGTGACTATAATGGTGACTATAATGGTGACTATAGGCGATTTTTTGTGGTTTCCGTTTTTGGATTTCCGAGATTTCTGGCAATGGCATCACACATGTGGATTTAGGAAACTGAGCAATGACCGTACAAGTATGGGATTGGAAGCAGCAGAAGTGACGAAGCAACTCCTACAGTTGATACAAGCATACCAGCAATAGTATATCAGCAAACAAACTACATTGATACCCTTGGATTTTGTACCACTTGAATCCACTTGATGCTTAACTATGATTGCCATGCCCGGACAGGCCAACAGTCCAAGACACAGAGCCACAAAACCCGCAAGTACCCAAGGAGCACGTCCAGTTTTGGATGGGCCTTTCACTTCATCCCAAGTATTTTTGCATGGCTCTCCCGGGATGCAAACATCATGAACATTTAATCTTCACAGATGTTTTCTCAACAGGTTTTTCAACAGAAAGGCGTATGGTGGTTTTTTTTCCACAGAAATCACTTGGCAACATCGATTCACCATGGATTCAATGGATTGGTTTAGGGGAAAATTGACCGGAAAACCATGGAAAACCCCCTATTTAATGGTAAAAAACCATGGTTTCCTGTAAATTTTCCCTTAAACCAATCCATTGATGGAAGGTTTGCTTCACCAGGGAGGACTTGGAGGACGAACCGCCCATCATGGCTGCCACGTCCCATGACGTCCCACGGCTCAGTTCCCCGAACCCACATCGAATGCCACGTCGGCATAGGGGACCAAACCACTGGGATCCTGTGCCAAGGTGCTACGATCCCTTGAGTTCTTCCATGTTCATAAAGAAGGACCTGATTTCACCGTCCAATAGTGAGATTTACTCCATGTATCTCCATGAAAAAATTCATTATGGGTCAGTTTGAAGGTGTAAATGGCTGTGTACACAACACGTGGGACGTGGATTTTTTTTCATACGACATGAAATGAGAATATCATCTTCCAAATCAAGGCATTGGAAAAGGGTGAAAGGATGGAAGGATGGCCTTAAAATCATGTCAAACCACTGAGGTATGTGGTCCTTTACCCCTCTATCAGACCTCTCTCATTCATTATTCACGCAAACATATGCAACCATATCGTAGTTTTTCGTGTCATCTATGCGAAAAGGTACCCTTCTGAAATGAGATGAAATGAGATCATTTTGAGATGATGCTACCTAACAACCATCATTTGTACTGACGTCGTGGTGAAGTTGTTTCAATTCAATCAATGATCCATAGTAAAATAAGGCAAACAAATGGCAAACAATAATCAGATATAATCAGCATCAAACCAGCTAGATCCAGGCAAGGTGTGCCGGCCTCTACCAACCCCCACCAACCCCCACCCAACCTGCTGGAGCATCGCGGCCACCCGAAAGTGCTCAGGAAAGGGACCAGGTGCTTGGTAAGCCTGACCGCCAGGCGGGGGTGTTCTGGGGGACGGGTTCTGATGACTGAGAACCTCTGGTAAACTTTGGGATCTGAACTTGGCAAAAGCGTCAAACAGCTGAACTTCAGGCAAAAAAACAGGTAATGGATGGAAATGGGTTCCTTATGCAAGAGTCTTTATACTAGGGACTGGTATTTATTCCAACCACCTGAATGTGCAGCCCATCTGAATCTGAGAGGCTTAACAAACCCTTCCCTACTTTGCAGCGCTCGACAGTGTTGTCTTCTTGACCTCAGGTGGCTGGAGACATCAAAACAGGCAACGCTTAGAAGCAAAAGATCTGCCACTTCTCTCTGTGCAGCGCCTTTTTGTTGCCGCTGTTGAAATCATATCCTGCACTCCTTTCACGATCATTCTGGCAAAACTGCACACCAGCAGACCATGTATCCAATCTTGTGCAAGTCAAAAAGCTCGGCTATTTCAATCATATACATCTATGATCATCTATGCATACACGCAGTCAAGCATGAGCTGAGGTGGAGTCAGGTGGAAGTCTCGTCCGAATCATCGTTCCGATTGCTATTTCCCGATTGCAACCTCCAAAAAACATAGGCTCCAGCCGCCACAGCAGCCAGAGGCAAGGCGACTGTGCCTGCCACTGCAGCTGCCCCTGCGGTGCCGTATGTTGCCACAGTTGTAGTGTAGCCCATCAAGCCCCAAAAGCCTCCTGCCGAAACCTCTGTTGTCGCACATGCTGCGGTGATGAAAGTAGCACCTCCTCCTGCGAGGCCCACATGAGTGCCAAATTCAACTGCCTCAGCAAAAATTGTCTCAATCTCTTCTTTGGTCACCTTGTTGCTTTTATCGACCATGTTGTCAATCAAGCATGACATGGCAATCCCAACAGTGACACCAAGCGAGGCACCAAAGCGGCTTCTGGAGTAAATAGAAGCAGCAACACCAATGTACACGACCGCATTCTTCACCATGGGATTCTCGAGAAGAACTTATCAATCTTCAAATGGGCATCTTGGCTTAGCGAGCCTGTGTACTCGGAAAAACTTGTGATATTTTGCTCAGGGAAGCACATCTCAGTCATGTGTCCTGGCCGATCCCAATGGATGCAATCATAGCCATTCTCTCGCCAGGAGCCGGAGCGGTCTCTCGTGTCGGTGCAGCACACCTTGTCACCGCGGAAGCGGACGCAAAAGACCGTGCCGTCGATGCCGGCATAGCCCTTTGCTTTGTCATAGGAGTGTGCTCCATACACACCGCATCCGAGCATCCCACGGGTTGAGTCTTTGAATCCGTTCATCTGGATGCTTTTGACGTTTTGATCTGGGGTGCCATGGAGAACACAGTGAGTGTTGACTAGCAAGTCAATGCCCTTCCCCACCACTCCAGCACCCACGACATTCCTCAAGGATGCAAGGGCGGCAAGTGAGATCTGTTGGTAGAAGAAAGCAGCATAGGCGTTATCGGTGGTCGACATGGCAGAAGGAATGGAAGGAATGAGACCTCGAAAGCCTTGTGCTTGGCTGATGCCCCAGTCGCTAAAGCTGAGTTTACCTAAAGCCCAAAATCAGCTCCGCGAAGCAAAAGATCAAAATCGCGCTGGCGGAAAATGCTAAGGCATGACAATAATATGTTGCAGTCATGGTTCATCAATGAAGCACTGTCCTTCTGTGTCCTTCTATGTTTTTCCTATCTTTGCCTGCAGCGCTGCAGCATTTTGTTTCCCAAATGTCTCAGGGCCCGGCCAAAAATCTCAGGAAGCCGCCAAGACAAAGGACAGGAGGAAACGATGTTCGCCGCAGAGGTAACAGAGGAAAGAAACAGGCCGCATTTCACCAAAGTAATTCTCCTCTGGTAATCCAAGTTGGCAATGGAATACAGCTGTCCCCATTAAAGAAACCACTTTCCATTGCAGTGGTAATTTTCCAGATGGTTTCCTGGGACCAAGCGTGGTTGCCAGCCAAATACTATGTCACAACGTTTGCTTGTGGCCCCAAGTTGCAAGAAAGATGTTGTAAATGTACCCAAAAATGGGGGATCTGTGAGATTCTGTGAGTCTAAAGGAATCAAATGAATCAACAAGGAAAACAAAGTAAATCCTATGTCCTATGTCAATTCTATATCATTTGGAAAGATTATCAGTGTTATATGATGTTATATGATGTTCCATCCGCCTGCGGGGCCATGGGAGGCCGCAGCACCTGCCACATGGCACGATGACATCTCCAAGGCGTTGGGTCACCGGTAGGGGTAAAGGCACATAAAAGTGGTGAGGTTAAGTATGGTTAAGTGAGTTTTAGAGTCTTAGAATGTCTTAGATGTGCAGTTACCATGAACCCCACATTGATTGGTCTTATATTCAATGGATTGGTTTAAGGGAAAATTTACAGGAAACCATGGTTTTTACCATTAAATAGGGGGTTTTCCTGTAAATTTTCCCCTAAACCAATCCATTGATATATAGATTCCAGAAGCATTTTGTTTGTCCCACCTGAATCTTGATACAGGGCGCGCCTTGAACAAGCGCCTCAATGGGGCGCGCGAGTTGCACAGCAAGGCCTTCGCTGGGACCTCCAGTCGTGATGTGAGCCAAATTTCATGGGATTTATTTGATGGGAAAATAAACTGTATTTTACTATATGTTATACTATATAACTATATTTTATCATATTGAATTATATTAGATTTTATGCAAACACATTGTTGTTGCGATTGCATGTATGGGTACGGCACATTTTCCGAATGGGGATGGCCCTTGAG